AAAATTTTAGAAGCTGGAAACTAAATGGATTACTGCTAACTGCCTTAACTAACCCAAGAAAGCCAAAGTTGTATTCCAAAGTTCTATTCCAAGAACCTCCAACTTAGATCAGAGAATTTTCTCAAGTATCAGGTATTAGCAGCAACAGGCAAGTTTGGAAAAGGAGATGGAGGAGGGGTCTAAAATAAAGAGGATCATTTAAAAGCTTTGAGAAGCTGTTAAATGCTTAGATCCCTTCACTCACTTCATCCCTGAGCAACTCTAGAAGTCTAGAGGTTTATTCTCTCAAAAGGGTGAACAGTGTCTCTAGATTGGATTTTGCTGGGCACAGCTGAGCCTGTGAATACCATATTGAAATCCAGGAAATTGGGTGACCTTATGCGTTCTGAATACTGAATGCAAAGATCTCTAGGAAGAAAATTGGAAGTCTTCTTTTAGGGAATATGAGCAGCCTAAAAGACCTAAAGAGACTGATATTGGGAGTTCCCTAACTATTGCCCCAGCAAAATAAACGTACAGTGAAGGTTACTAGTATAAAGGCCTCAGCTATATGCTTAGAGGTTGTGGTCACCTTTTTAGTTTCCCATTCTTAAGAATGAGGAGATAGTGCCAGACATAGGATGAAGCCATCCAATATGAAAGCTAGAGACCAAAATAAATAAGGAAAAAATGAACTTGGAGGAAACAACTTATGCGTGAAGAAGAAAACTTCAAAAACAACAAAACAGTATTATTAATTCACTAATATTCCTAGAAATATACTGTATCTATGAATCAAAGAACAGGATGCTAGACAAAAGGAACATCTAGAGAATACAATAAAAAATGATATTAAAAATATAAAATGAAAAACTGTAGTGATGGTTTTGAAAGATAAAGTAGGCACTGGAATCCCTTCGCCTGTACACACATTGTGATTGGATTATGATCCATCACCCCCCCACCCACCAGCAAGCATCCACCACAGGTGAAGCACTAAACCCATGGTATTGTCCAGAGTAAATAGGACAGCATGGGGCCTCAGGACCCTTGGGCCCACTCCTGCCACTGCTGTGGCAAAAAAGCAAGATGTTTCCTCAAGTCCATGGGCTTCACAGTGGAAAGGGCAGAAGTAAAGACAAACACACACACACACACCCATGCACACACGCACACACACCTTGGGGGCCATCAGGACGATGAGAAAGAAACGGAGACTAGAAGGAACTCAACAGGAATATTATTGGGCCAGAATAGAAGGACCAACAAAAAAAGGGGCAGGGAGAAGTGTGCAAAGAAAATGGAAGGGAGGAAATCATCACCAAAATAATTCAAGATAATATCCTATAATTGAAAGACATGAGTTATTAGATTGAAAGAACCCGCTGGCACAATGGGTAGAAATAGACCCACACCAGTTTAAGAATTCTAGACAAAATTCCACAAGTTTATAGAATTAGAAGGCAGGTATACATACAAAGGTCAGGAATCAGAATGGCTTTGGATTAAATAAAGCAAAACTGTAAGCTAGAATTACGGAATTCTAATTTAGAATTCTGTAGCCAGCCAAAATATCAATAAGATACGGGGACAAAATACATTTACGTAAGTTCTCAAAAGTACTTATATCCCATAAACTGTTGCTCAGTAACATATTGGAGGTTGTGTTTGACCAAAATGAGAGAGTAAACCAAAGAGGAGGAAGATGTGCAATGTAAGACAGGAAATCCAACACAGAGAAAGGTGAAGGCAATTCTCAAAGTGAAGGTCAAGGTCAAGGGAAGGGATTTCTCAGATGATAGCCCTACCATTAGACAGGCAGCCAGTCCAGAATGAAGCCATGTGACTCCAGACACACACATGTTGAGGGCCTTCTGTACCTGATAATATGTGGGTAGTCTGTCCCCAGAGTCTTACCTGTACTTAGCTTGCATGGCCCATGTGCTGATGAAGTTCTTGCTCTCTCCTGCCCACCCTGCTACCTGGATAACCAAAGACATTCATTTCACTCCACAGAAGAATTTTGCTTTGAACTACTACTGAGAGCTGAAGATTGGCCCTGGTAAGTAAGCTTAGAAGCAGAAAATAGAGAGTATCCTACTCCCACTGATCGTATTTCTGTCACATGTCAGCACCTTGCCTGCACTGCAACCCTGTCAGATGCCTTCACTATGTTGAGCCCTATTTTCCTGGGACTCATCTTCCCTGCTCCACATGGGGCTATGAGAAATTCTCTGAAAAGCTGAAGACAGACCATGACTCTCTTAAGCTCATCATCTCTGACAACCTTCATCAAACAGTGGCAATAATTCTCTTTTCATGCACAGCCAGGTTTGTGCTTTCTTGATGATTTTTAAATTCATCAACTTTTTCATTCATTTATATACAAATACTTATAGTTGAAATAACAAAAATATTTGAGAAAATCTGTTCTTGTCATTCTCCATATTAAATAAGGGAGAAAAACTACATGATGGTAGCAATAGTTTAGAGAAAGCATTCTGTAAAATGCAACACCTATTTATGATCTTAAAAAAAATAAAACCCTTTACAAATTAGTAATAGAAGAGAACTTTCTTAACCTGTAAACTCTACAGCATCTAACACATTTAATCATGAAACGTTAAAAAAATTCTCTTTAACATGAAGAATAAAACAAGGATAAATATTATCACCACCTCTGTTCAACATTATACTGGTAGAAGTCCTATCCAACATAGTATTTGCAAATGACCTGATCATGTACAGAAAGTATCACAGGACATATACCAGAAAACTACTAGAAGCAATTAAGTGGAATTCATGAAGGTCACAAGATTCAAGTCGATATTCAACAATTGTGTTTCTATGTACTAACAGTGAACAATTGGAAAGTGAAATTCTCAAAAGTACAATTTACAGTAGCATCAAAAAACATCAAATGTTTACGGATTAAATTTAGCAAATATATGCAAGACCTGTATATTGGAAACTACAAGGAACAGTTTTTTGCTGAGAGAAATTAAAGAAGACCTAAATAAATAGAGAGATTTACCAATTTTCATGGATTAGAACACTTGAGATTATTAAGATGTCAGTTCTCCCCAGATTCATCTATAGATTCAATGCAGTCGCAATCAAAATCTCTGCAGACTCTTTGGTAAAAGTTGAGAAACTAATTCTGAAATTTACATGGGAATGTAAAGGATCTAGAAAAGCCAAAACAGTGTTGAAAAAGAACAACAAAGTTAGAGAACTTAGACTACTTGATTTGCTCTGCACTACACTAATCAAGACAATGTGGTATTGGTGCTAAGGATGAACCATAGATCAACAGAACATCCAAAAATAGACACACACATCCATACTGACCTGATTTTAAATAAACATTCTAGGTAATTCTGTGGGGAAAGGACCGTCTTTCCAACAAATTGTGCTGATACTACTGGATATTCTTATTTAAAAAATGAACTTAAACTCACGCCATTATAAAAGTTTACTAGAAGTGAATCATATCCCCAAATGTAAAAGCTAAAATTATAAAACTTCTAGAAGAAAATATAGGAGAAGTCTTTGCAACCTTTGGTTAGGCAAAGAGTTGTTAAATAGGACATAAAAAGTGCAAACTATAATGAAAACATTGTTAAGTTAAACTTCATCAGAATAACAAACTTCTTCAAAAGACACTGTTAAGAAAATGAAAGGCAAGTCACAGACTTGGAGAAAATATTTGCAGATATATATTTAACAAAGGACTTAAATTTAGAATACACAAAGAATTCTTACAACTCAGTAAGAAGTCAAACAGCAATTTTTTGTATTGATGGCAAAGATTCAACAAACACTATTGGATGGCAAATAATCAGATGAAAAGATGCTCGATAACATTAGTTGCTAGGGAAATGCAAATTAAAACCACAATGAGATACTACTACACACCTACTCGAACAACTAAGATGAAAAAGACTGACGTCATACCAAGTCTTGGTGAGGATGTAGAACAGAAAACGATTGTACACTACTGGTGGGAATGTAAAATGATACAATCACTTAGGAAAACAGTTTAGCAGCATCTTAGAAAGTTTAACATTCACCTGCCATACAATCCAGCCATTCCTCTCCTAGCTTTTTACCCAAAAGAAATGAAAGTGTATGTCTATAAAAAGACTTATATGTGAATGTTCATAGCTACTTTATTTGTTATAGAAAAATCTGAAAACAACACAAATGTCCACCAACATTTGGACAAATAAAACAAATTGTGATATATCCATAATGTGGAGTACTACTTAGCAATAAAAGGAAATGAAGTATTGATGAACATAACAACATGGATGAGTTTCAAAATAATTACACCAAGTGAAAGAAACCATATAACAAAGAGGGTATACTGTGTTATTCCATTTATATAACATGCTAAAAAAAATACAAACTAAGTTTTTGGAGGTGATATAGATAGGTTTATTATCTTGATTGTGGGGTTGGTTTCATGGGCATTTACAGATGTCCTCATCGTATGTACACTGTAAATATATGTAGTTTAATGTAAGTCAGTGATACCTCATTGAAGCTATAAAAAATATATAAGCTACTGTTAATATTTTGGATAACTCACCAAGCTTCAGTTTCCTCATCAGTGAAGTGAAAAGAATAATACCTGCCTCATAGGGTTTATTTGAAGATTTTATTCGTAGTTGTGTGCTTATTTATGTATATTATGTGTGTATCTAATTTACAGTAGTGCCTGACACAGATCAGGTGACTCAGTCAATGTTAATTCTCTTCCACCACCCCTGCCTCTTCCGTGGGACTGATAAAGGTGTTGGGGGCGTTCAGATTGCCTTCTTGATACCTTTAGGGAAGTCTTACTGGCACATTCTCTCTCAGTACCTTTTAATGGCAAATGTATTAGAGAATTTAGTAGATAGGTTTGCTTTTAATACTAATGAAAACCTTTCCTTCGCATGAAAGTGGTGAACTCAAGCCCTGATTATGACATGACTTGACAAAATTTCATTTTGCTTTTCTTTTTTTCCCCACAGGGTTTATCCATGGCTTAGAGGACTGGGTTATACATCCTTGGGTCTATTTTTATTGGGATTTTTATTATGGAACATAGATAACATCTTTTGTGAATCACTAAGGTAAGATATATTTTCAATCTTTGAGAATTATTTTTGGAAGCAGTCTGTTATACAGAGAATTTCATAGGCATATAGAATTATTAGTGCCCCTAAGTGAAATTTTGCCATTGTTAAAGTTAAAAAGATATGTACAGCACATTAAGGTCAAATACTGGGAATACTTGTTTAAATTACCTACAATTTGGACCTGAGAATATTTCATAACATCTGTAGGGATTTATGTGTGTGTGTCACAGAACTATACAGTTAATCAAATATTGACTAGGTCTTTGAAATCTGCCTCATCTGCATTACTGAAGACCTAAGAATGATCTATAATAAGCGTATGAAATACACGTATATAATTTTGTACTTTAATATGCTTAAAGTTATTTTCTAAGAAAGGCAAGTGTTACTTTAACCATCTTGTAAAAAATTATATAGTGACTCACCCTGGGTTTCTGGACCCTAGTCTGTCACTAAGACACTATCTTTCTGGGCCTCAATTTCCATAAAATAAACTTATTGAATAGGTTAAACTAGGGGGTCCTTCCAACTCAAAATTCTGTGACCTAACAGTTTTTCAGAAACATAGAGGACAGAGGAAAATATTGAACAGCACCATAGAGAGGCCATCAGCAACATTCAGCCTGTGGGAAATCTACAGGAAGAGTGACGTGGTCTCTTCAGCAAATGAATTGCAGTGGGGAAAAGGGGAGGAGGAACATACAGACTAAAAGAGACTTAAGAGACACAGCAACTAAACACAATGTGTTCACCTTTTTTGGATCTTGATTCAAACAAACTGTAAAAAAAACCAAAAACTTATGAGACGATTGTAACTTTGATTACTAATTGAATATTTGATGATATTAAGGGATTACTGTTAATATTTTAGGTGTCAAAGTGGTATTATGGTTAGTTTTAAAGAGGTTTTAATCTTTTGTAGATATATTCTGAAATATTTAGAGATAAAAAGATATAATATCTGGCATTTGCTTCAAAATAAAATGAGAGGGGAGAAGTGGATGAGAGTTTAGATCACACAAGATTGGCCATAAGTTATAATTGTTGAAGCTGGGTAATGGATATATTAGTATGTTGCCTATTTTTGCACATGTTTGAAATTCTCCATAATAAAAAGTTAAATAAGTAAATGTAGACTTTAAATGTACACAAACAGACAAGTACTTAGAAAACTAAGATCTAAGTGAGTGTTTCTGAATCAGTAAGACCCATCAGAGCCCCCACTGGAGCTTTCACACTGTGGACGTAAGTCATCACCCTCTGGGGGAGAGTCGCTAAAAAACAAAGTAGGTTCTTAGAGATGGCAGTCGTCTCAAAAATTCATGGGAGTATCTAGACAAATAATATGTTTCACATTGATTTTTCCCCTCTAATAAGTGAGAATATTAATATGGTATGCACTTAATCAAAAGATCTAGAATTTGAGATTCAGCTGTGCCACTAGCTGACCGACTTGGGCAATTCAATCTCTCTGAGTTTCAGGTTCCTAATTTATAAAGCAAAGGTCATAATAGCCACCTCAAAGACTCACTGTGAAGTGAAATAGCCGATATGAAAGGACTTGGTAGACTGGATGGTGCTCTTCTAATGTGATGGTCGTATGTAGGGCATGGGAAAAGCGTGCATCTAGTTTCTTGAGTGAACAGCTAAGCAGATCAGTGTTTCCCAAAGTGTGTTCCAGGAAACACGTGTTCCATAAGGTGTTAATAAGATCTTACCTGAAAAAAGGGCTCATGGATTAGATTACCTGAAAAAAATGAAGATAAACTCTTTTAATTATGGTAGGACTTTTCAAAGCCTTTAATCTGTTAATATGCATTACAAATCTCCAAGAGGGCAATAAACTGTGTACTGTTTCTCACATTTATTTTGACCACAGGTTCATTTCTTCATGGAACTTCTGCTAGGAATACTATTCCTCAAAATGCACTTTGGAAAACGATAAGGCAGACTACAGCAGACTTAAGGAAACTAAATAATAGCTATCTTTGAGAATGACATTTCAGAATGCTCTAAGACTGTCAGCATTAGTTGCTAAATATGAAAAAAAAAAAATTAACATGATCATTTTTTTTCCCCCTCTCCACACAGGAACTTTCGAAAGAAGGTGCCACCTATTATAGGTGTTACCACACAGTTTCATGCATGGTGGCATATTTTAACTGGCCTTGGTTCTTATCTTCACATCCTTTTCAGGTAGGAAATAGAGACTTTTAGCCTAGTATTGGAGTGTTTTTTTCTTTATGCTTCTAATAGGAGGTGTAAATATCAAATGTCAGAGACGGAATAAGGAACTTACGTTCCAGCTTTGTCTCTGCCGCTAGTGACCTTAAGCAAGTCCTTTCCCACCTCTGAAGCTCGATTTTCTCATCCTTAAAGTGAGAGAATTGTACTGACTGACCTCTGACACATGATCTAGATTTCAAGTAGATGATTCGTCTCCTTTTTTAGTGCAAGTAGGATATAAACATTTCCGTTTCTTGTTGATCAGCGGAGCTTTGTTTATAGAGAATAAATTGGGGTGGGGGGAGCAGCCAGATCCCCTGACGAGGGGACTGGGAAGGCATCAGTAGCTGAAGTCCCAGCTTAATTTGTCTCCTTTCTGGAAATAAATTGATTGCCACTTCTCTTCCCCTGCTCCCCTAATAAAGGGGCTATTGGAAGTCAGCCATTTACAGCAAAAATGGCATCAGAATTCTCTGTGGTCACCCTCTTCAAATAGTACCTCCATCTCCCTCCCCCCTTACCAGACCTTATTTTCCTTCAAAGCATTTATGTATGTCTTTATTTACTTGTTCACCTCCCCCAACTAAACTGTCAGTTCCTTGAGAGCAGAGACTTTATCTTATTCACTGCTCCTCTCCCAAATGCTGAGAACAATGCCTGTCACACAGCCATCAGTATATATTGTTAAATGATTTAATGAATGAAGTGTACATATTGATCTCTTTACCAGGGGCTCAGGCTATGTTTAATCTCAAATTCTTCTCGAGAATTGAGAGAGCTGAAATATTTGTAGAAAGGGGAAGGAAATTTTCCTTAAACCATTGTGAAAATTTACTCAAGTGAGATTTTTAGAATTCCTCCCCAAAATAACATTTGCATTTCACCTATGTGGAGAGCTTATTCAGGCAACTTGAATGATTTGAAATCTAACTGACTCAGAATTACATAAAAAGAGCTTCCGGGCAACTTTGAATAAGAACCCCTGAATCCACGCCGTGAAGAGCTCAAGGTTATTGATCATGGAAGAGCTCTGTGAACTCTGCGCTCCAAGTACATTTATTTTACTATTACTTTCTGCAACTTCTTAGTGCATTGATTATTTGGATTCTCAGCCCATAGCATCTGAGAAATGGCTGATTTAAAAGGAAAAGTATATGGGTGGAAATATTTGGGGAAATTGATGAGTGATAGAAAAGGAGAAACAAGAATAACTATAAAGCAAACACAAGAATTAAAAACTTGGCACCTTAACACTGCCAAGAGGTCTCAAGGATGTTTCTGCAGTATAATACAATACAGTAAGGAGTTTCTATAGTAACTACTCAAAAAGAGGGGAAATTAGACTCATTTCATTTTAAAAGGCTAGGGCTTCCTACTTTCCTCTTCCGTTTTCCACCTTACCCTTTCGATCTTGCTTTCGCTTTCTCATTCTTCTCTCCTCCTGGTGTGGAAACCCTTCCAGGAAGCAGGGCAGTGAGGGGAAGAAGTGCTGTACAGAGTTGTCAGCATTCAATGTCCAGGAACTAGGGAACGTGAAAAGAAGGGGTCAGTGGTAGCAGCATGCTGAGCTTCCAAGAAAATCTGGCGGTGAAGAGGAAGGGGCTGCTGTGCGGAGCAAGGAAGTGGGGTGATGGGGGCAGGGCTGTGGAGGGGGAAATGAGAAGGTAGCTGGAGTTGGGAAATGGGTTACATTGAACAAATAAATTAATTGATTAAACAATAAGTAAATATATTGAGGATAACAAAAGCCTGATTTCTTCACCCTCTCAGAAGGGATTTGCAAATAGAGAGAGAGAAAACTAAAAGGAACTCTGAGCCGTTTAGATCGGAATTAAAAGTATTGGTGTGAACTCATGAGTGTGTGACACACACACATACATACATATGTACACACACTCAGATATAGAAAAACTTAGATGTACGTGTGTTGTATAAATTTTAAATATATGTATACATATGTTTACACATACCTATATTGCCTACCTCTGTCCCCTTTGAAGGCTGAAAAGCAAGCAAAAGCAACCGTTGGCCAAAGCTAAGATAATTTGAGTATCAAAATTAAATAGGAGGAACATCAGATTATAATCTATTGAATAAAATAGGAATCTGTGAGTGCATACTAATGTAAATAAATAAATGAATAAATAAATGAGGAGAAGGGAAAGCTCTTCTTTACAGAAAAATGCCAACTAATAAATGTAGAAGGAACAATGGAAACAGATAATCATCATTTGGCAGCCATCTTCGGGATAGTTGATAGGCATTAGTTATCAATGGATACCCTGGCTAATAGGCGGAAGTTTGATGAGGAACACGTATTGGCATAATTCAGAATGTCTTCCAATGAAATACTAATACAAAAGGGAAAATGGTGACTTTACAGTGAAGAAAATTGGCAGCAATCAACTTGACCATGCATCTGAGGCTAACATTGCCCATGATGGAGCAGTCAGTGTAGTGTGTCTCCTGATGTAATGCACTGAGATGAGCTCAGCATCATTTTAGTGGTATTCCTGCCAAAAATACATGGCCTGGCTTTGGCCGTGGGGAAACAATGCTGGACCCATGTTGAAAGTCCTACAGAATGAAAGTCCTACAGAATGAAAGTCCTGTACTGTTTAAGACAATCAAGTACATGAGAGACAAGGAAAGACTGAAGAACTTTCTAGTTAGAAAAACACTGTTAAGATATGACATAAAGGGGCTGTCTCCATGGCCAAGTGGTTAAGTTCCCATGCTCCGCTGCAGCGGCCCAGGGTCCGGATCCTGGGTACGGACATGGCACCGCTCATCAGGCCACATTGAGGCGGCATCCCACATCCCACAACTAGAAGGACCTGCAACTAAGATATACAACTGTGTACGGGGGTGGGGGTGGGGGTGGGGTTTGGGGAGATAAAGCAGGAAAAAAAAAAAAGACTGGCAACAGTTGTTAGCCCACGTGCTAATCCTTAGGGGGAAAAAAAAAGATATGATATAAAAACTAAATGCAATGCATCTTTCTGGATAGGAACCTGGATTAGCTCAGGGCTAATCTTCCTTACAAAAAAAGAATTATTTTATTGAGGTCATTTTGGCTTATAACATTGTGTAATTTCAGGTATACATTATTATATATCAATTTCTGTATAGACGGCATGATGTTGTATTTACTTTAGCCTTCGTCCACATGCAATCTAGTTTTTACACAGGTTAATAATTACATATATATGATTTTAGTCTAACTTAAAAATCAAAATATCTTTCCATGTTACTATAAATTTTACATATTTATAATTTTAAATGGATGAATAAAAGACATATTATAACTTACTCTGTGATTGATTCTGCATTAATAGGTAGTTGTTTTATTTTTTTTCTATTATTATTGTTGTTTTGCTAAACTAGATAACCCTGTGATAAACATTTTTGTGTTTACACACAGATTTTCATTTTTCTGGGTTATTTCTTTAGGATAAATTCTGAGTAATATAATAACTTGGATAAAAAATATAAATATTTTATTTTCATGAACACATGTAGTGTCAAATTTCTTTGAAATGGGTTGTATCAATTTTCACTGACAAGTAATAGGTGATCATACCATTTTCACTGCAACTAAAGAATACAGAAGGAAATTTCAAAATACTGTAGCTCACTTAATGGATATAAAAAAAATCCCATTGTTTTATTTTTAAATTATTTTTTGAATAGGTAATATAATCATTTGGTAAAAAATTCAAACAGTATGAAAGAGTATACAGGAAAAAGGAGGTTTGTCTTCTACCTCTGCCCCTCAGCCCGGACATAACTGCTATTACTTACCAGTCGACATATTCTTACAGTTTATGCATCTATAAGCATATATGTAAATTTAGCCCCTTCTTTTTCACAAAAATGAATATCCTGTTGTTTTAGAAGGCATTTTTTGACTACCAGTGAGGTGATCATTTTTCTAATTGCTCGTTTACTACAAATATCTCAAAAACACACATTCTGGAGGCCTGGCCTTCTCTCTTCTCTCTCTCTCTTTTTTTTTTGGTGAGGAAGATTGGCCCTGAACTAACATCTGTTGCCAAACCTCCTCTTTTTTTTTTTTTTTTTAAAGATTGGCACCAGAGCTAACAACTGTTACCAATCTTTTTGTTTTTTGCTTTCTTTTTCTCCCCAAACCCCCTCCTTGTATATTTTAGTTGTGGGTCCTTCTAGTTGTGGCACGTGGGATGCCACCTCATGTGGCCTAATGAGCAGTGCCATGTCTGTGCCCAGGATCCAAACCAGCAAAACCCTGGGCCACCGAAGCGGAGCGCGAAAACTTAACCACTCGGCCACAGGGACGGCCCCCAAACCTCCTATTTTTGCTTGAGGAAAATTGTTGCTAACATCTGTGCCAGTCTTCCTCTGTTTTGTATTTGGGACGCTGCCACAGCATGGCTTGATGAGCAGTGTGTAGGTCCATGCCCAGGATCCAAACCCATGAACCCCGGGCCACAGAAGCAGAGTGTATGAACTTAACCACTCCGCCACTCGTGCCACTGGGCTGATCCCTCCTTTTTTTTAAATTAAAAAATAGCTTCAAACTTACAGGAAAGTTACAAGATTGCTCTGAAGAATTCCTATATCCCCTTCTCCCAGATTCCCAATTGTTATCGTTTAACCACATCTGTTTTATACACACACAAACACCAATACACATATGTACGTGTGTATATTTATTCTATAGTCATTGTATGACGTGATGCCCATCACGCCTTAACTATTCCAGTGTGTATCACCATGAAACCTGGGCACTCTTAAGTTACCGTAATAGCACCCTTCCACTCAGGAAATTAACATTAATTCAGTACTACCATCCAAGTCAAGGCATCATTCAAATTTTGCTAACTGTCTGAACAATTTCTCTTTCTTACTTTCTTTTTTTTTTCCTCCTTCGTCTCTCCAAAGCCCCCCAGTACATAGTTGTATAATTTAGTTGTGGGTCCTTCTAGTTG